CCTGGAGGGACTACAAACTCCAAAAGGGTAGTGACCATGTTTTACTCACCTAGGAAGCCTCCCCCAGCCTCCAGCAGTACTAGCACACAATAGGTACTCAATAAATAGGATAATTCTATATTATGGTAGAAGCTCACAAGGTAATTCAGATTCAGTGTTTCAAAAAGACCACTTCTTTTTTTTTTTTTTTTTTGGAGAGATTTTCGCTATAGGGCGTGTGCGCTCGCCAGACAGAGACAGAGAGACATTAGAGACAGAAAGCAAGAAATCACCCCCCAGGGAGGATGGTCACGCCACAATCCCTTCTCCTCCATTCTCCTCTCGGGATCTTGGGCACGCACGCACGCACATGCGCCCAGCGTGAGCTTTAAGCCACCGGGTCCAGGACGCGAACCAGGGTCGACTACGTGGGAGTCCAGCAACATAGCCATTACGCTAATTGCTGGTTCCCTCAAAAAGACCACTTCTGAAAATGATTACCAAGTAAAAATTCTCATCTGGAGATCTATTTCTGAAATTTGTCTTAATACATCAATTATTTGAAATCTTACAGTGTTACTGAATATTTCACAACAATGATTCTCCTCCAGAAGAATGTAAATACTGTAAATTCCTTTAAAGAAGAAACTTCATCTAATAGTTTTTACTATCCTAAAACTGAATCAGGCAGATTTTTTTTTAAAGAAAGATTTTTGCTATAGGGCGCATGTCTTCAGAGAGACAGAAAGAGACAAAGTGAGAAATCATCCCCAGGAGGGATGCCTAGTCACAATCCCTTCTCCCTCATTCTCCTCTCAGGCTTTTGGGCACACACACACACACGTGTGCCTGGTGTGACTTTCAAGCCACCAGGTTCAGGACTCGAACCATGGTCAGCCATGTGTGAGTCCAGTGCCTTAACCACTAAACCACCTGCTGACCCCCAAGTAGATTCTTAAAACAACTAGAAATCTCTCAAAGGTCATGTATGCCTGTGGTAAGAAAACTAAAATTAAATCAGCACCCTTGTCGAGGTCTGATTTACTCCAGATTAATCTAGCTGCAGATTAAAAGAGACCCTTTGGTCCCACCCCTTAGCTGTTTTTGCAGGATTATTTCAGTTCCTTCTTCCCTTAAATCTTTAAGTCCCCTCATCATATATCCCTTTTGTCTTTCACTCTCAAACACAAACACACATCCAGACACTATTTTGTGTACAACACCCCAAGAATACTCAGCAATTTCCCACAGCCCCACTATTAGCACTAACAGTGAACTCTACTTTCTACCAGTCATTCAACAGGTCTTTATTAAGCACATAAGGATCAAGCTGCTAGAAATTTCCCCCAGAGAGTAAAGGAAGTCTCAACTCTGGTGCAGGTTACAATCTAGTAACCATGTGCAAAACAAAGAGAGATTAATTCCCAAAAGCAAATATGAAGTTTAGCAGGCCATAGTTTACATTCAAATGCTGCTCTAAAAGTAAGAATGACTCTGAAGAGATGCAGCTACTTAAATCAGACTTCCTAAAAGAAGAAAAACAGTATCTTTTTATTCCTCCAATATTCATCACACTGACTTGTACCTTATAACATAAATTCCAAAAACACTAATAGTTCATGACTCTCTCCTAATAGATGAGTAGCTTAGCTTTTCCCACCATATTTTCAATATATTAGTGGTTTAAATATGCTAATTTCCTTAAACTGCCACAAATCTCAGGTTCACCACTACACGGTTAATTTAGTCTCCTATCAACTATATCCAAGTGGCCTCAGGATTCTTCACCTTCCCTCCAGATTACCCCATTATTATCACCTCCTCCATCAACCCTATCTCTCATCCTCCTCCTCATCACATTTCCCCATCCTGCCCTCCCCACCAGAAAAGATAAACACAAGTCCTTACCAATCAATTCCTCCTAGAAGCATAAAAACTGTCATAGAAGCCTACAAGGAACATGCAAGGGTCATTTTAGATTTCCAGATTCGTCACACTAAAAACTGCAACCTGGTAAATAACTCCAAGATGGGCAATAATCATTGTCAAACAACTGGTCATCTACATAACCAGCAAATCTAATGCTGCAGAGATGTTGCTTCCTACATAAGTCTTGTTTATAGGTCCATCCAAACTTCCCTTTGTCATCTCACCCAGTATTTCCGGTCTAATTGTAAATGCTCTCTCTCAATTCAGAAAAGCCCTTTCTATCTAAATCCTCATCTATTATCATGGGGAAGTTAAGAGATATACTCCAATGTTGTTGAACTCTAAAATCATGGTTTACACAAATTATTTAAAGATAGAAAGACATCAAATAAAAGTACTAAAATAAAAACTATCCAAGATCACAAAGGAGAACAAAAAGATGTCAATGAATGACACAAATCCTTTTCATCCATAGAAGTCTTCTGACTCCTTGATAATGTTATTCTGATAAATCAAAAAATAACAATGTTTGCCTATTTCTCAGAGGCCTAGAAAAAAGCATGATAAGAACTATAAAAATTAATGCTTGGACAGTTGAGACAGGGACTATTGCTTTCATTATAGCCCCCACAGAACAATATTTAAAATTAGGCACATGTATTATTTCATAATAATTTAGAAGAAAAGACAAACAACAATGGCATATAATCTTTAAGTATATCATACTTACAAAATTAAAATAGATAATAAACAGTGCTTATGAGGAAAAGGGAAGAAAAAACCGGCCTCATACTACAATGCCAACAAAAATGAGTACATAATATTATGTAATATAATGAAGCCCCTCAAAAGAATGAGTAAATCTAGGGCCAGCTGGTTGCATGGTGGGTTAAGGTAACTAGATCCCACATGGGCAACCACATACATGCTCTGAGTCCCAGACCCAGCAGCTTGAAAAACACACTCAGGCATATATGTGCGTGCATGCTCAAAATCCCAGTAGAGAATAGAGAAAGGACTGCAGCACTGGTATCCCCTGGGGGGAGGAAGAGGGTGCTTTCTCACATTCTCTCTCTCTCTGTCTCTCTCTGGCTAGTCCACATGCCCTATAGAAAATAAATAATAATAAAATTTTAAAGATACATTTAAATGTACTGACATAGAAAGTTTTCCAAATTTTTAAAATAATAATCTTGGATTATGTCTATGAGAACACCTGTGATAAAAAAAAGCCCCGGGCCAGCAGGTGGGTAGTGGTTAAGGCACTGGATTCCCACATGGCTGACTGCATTTAAAGTCCCAGATCCAGAAGCTTGAAAAAAATCACAATAATAGTTCAAAAAGAAAAGAAAAGAAAGCCTCTCTCCATTCTAATGCTGTATTACTATCTTCCTTTAGAGATACTTACTAAAGGAATGAATGAACGAATTTTCCCTTCCCTCTCCCAAATATCAATCCAGTTTCTCCTCTAAACTCTTTGCCCTCCACTTTCATTTAAAAAAACAAGAAAACAAAAACTTCCATACTTAAAGTACTTATTACCTTCTAATCAGCTGAAGAACTATTACAATGTACTGGGTATATTGTCTTAACAACAAAAGGTAAATAATATCCAGGTAAAGTTTAAGAATGTGATTTCTAGTCCAGAGCTCCCTCTTGGAAACCTCGGTCTGGTATGAGCTCAGCAAATCCAAAAGTGTGAGTTTGATTCATTCCCTGATATAAAGATGTTAAATCCTCCCTCCAACTTCTAGACTCATCCAGTCTCTTCAGGTTCCCCTGGACTTCATCATCTTGACTTCTTGCAACTTAAGACCAAAACAGATACTCTAGATCATACTGCAGGCCCACACTTTGCTAGCTGATACATTTTCTTCAATACCACCATGCCTGCAAGAGTACATCGGAAACTGCTGTGAGTGGCAAAAGATCTCCCAACAGCCTCAGAGTTAAGGAATCAAACCACCTACTAGATGAATCTGAGCTACAAATAGTGCCCCCAAGAAGGGCCACCATGCATGGCCTCCACCCACTATTCATTATATTCCTGTGTACTGCAATCCAGGCTGGGTAGCATGGCACAGTTCTCTTGGACCAGATAAGCTGGACAGAGAAGAAAAAAATCCAAGTCAAGTCATTTCCATTCCAGCATTGTTCATCCAGCCTCTAAGTGACCATACTTTAAATCTGCTAAAATATAAACTCCCTGACAGAGAGTCCCCATAGGCCAGGCCTTTCTCAAGGTCTCTTTCAGAGGTTCTCATAGTCACTGGTGCAGATCTAAAATGTCTCAGACCAAACTGTAAAGTCTAATTCTCAGTGACCCCAACCACAGCCCAGACACACACTTACCAGATGTCATCTACTGAAGAGCCCAAACAGGTTCGGATCTAGGCCATCCTGGCCCATCTGGAATAACTCTTTAGTGCTCGAGCCAACATTTATTAATTATACTACATCTGTCTATTCCATTATGCATTTTTTTTTAAATATGTAGCACTCCCTCTTGCTTCAAACGCTATCCTTGCTACTCAAGGAAACTCCTATGTCCCTTCCCTTCTTTCCTTAGAAACGCTTCAGTTCTTTCCATAATGAAATACCTAACGTATCTGCACAATGAACACCCCCAAATCCGTAAGACTCCTCCACAGCCACCTCCTGCATTCCTCCACCTACCCGGCGCCTTTCCTCCGGCCTCTCTCCCCGTTCACACTCCCACTATGTTTCCCGCAGGCATTCCCTTTTCTCCAACCCCTGCCCTTCCCTTCTCGCGAAGAGCACACTCAGGCAGCAACAGTGACTGAGGCCTGCGGTGCATAAAGCACTGCACCAGGCACGGTGGACAGAGACCTGGTGTCTCTCCAGCTTTTTCACACCCACACCCAGCACCCGCTGGCCTCCCCTTGCAGACATCCCACCTCCTCCCCTACCTCTATCACCCCCCTCAAGCCTCGGAGGGCGCCTTCTCACCTTCGTCACCCCCGTCATAATCCTTTCTCAACCCCCCAACCCACCATCCTCTCCCTGCTTCCTCCCG